ATCTGTTACTGAAGGACCTTCCTGGGATACTCCAATCATGACACTATCAACTCTAGTTTCTGAGTTAAACTGGCAAATTCAACATTAACCAATCAAGAAACCAACAGACTACAATGGGAAGATACCATATGAGTCATACCAAGCTCATTTTCAAATCTTTTACAGAGCAAATAGGTATAATAATTATCAAGAAGCTATCCATCTAGTACATCTTTATAGAAACCTCTGCAGTTTGTGATCGAAATATAATCCATAAAGATCACAGATAAACTACTAATGGAAACATCTAGAAGTTAAGGTAGTATTATATCCTATATTATTAAAACATCAACTGCCTCTAACAGTGAACTAGAAGAACTGGAATATATGATCAGACAACTAGATATACAGAATGGGAGAAATACACCACAAGACAAAATTTTTTTCAAGTGTAATTTGAAGGAACTGCAGGCAAGGGTCTGTATACAATAACTACCTCTCAGAGGATATTAGGAAGAGGTAAATATAATCCTCTTTTTAAGAAATATGAATGCTATACCTGATACTGTAAGTGAATACTCCATTCATCACAAGTAATAAGAAGTTCCGTATTTGAAGAAAATCATTTGCAAGGTCCCAGGTTTATTGATGGAAAACCTTGAAGTATGCTGATTGGCATTGATTCCACAGCTACAATTGTTGCCCCTCCCCAGTGGCACAGTGATTGGTCTGGAGGCTTATAATGCTAAAAACCTGGTTTTGATATTCGTGGTGGGTACAGTATACAAAGCCTAGTATATAGCTTTGTGCTTAACTCCAAATAAACAAACAAAGCTACAACTGTTCGACTCAATTTGCTAATAAAAGATGGGAAATTGCCTCCAGAAATAAAGAAATAAGAAGGATTAATGTGAACAGTAGATGGACATAAAGTTCCAACAAAATAGAACCCTTAAGTTTTTCTGTACCTCATGATGTGTTAGTTATTGACATTGAAGAAAAGTTTATCTAAGGAACTGAGTTCAAGTGGAAACATGAATATGAAGTTATGCTAGCTTCTCAGCCAATGAACAAAAAATCGAAGTGTACTACACGGCAATTACTACACTGGAGGTTCAATGTCCAGTAGAAACATGGATTGTAGTCACTGTACCACCAAGTATTGAGATACTCATATGTATCAGGTATAATTCTTCATCTAGTTAATTGGGCATAGTGAAACAAAATACTTTGGCACGTCCTGAGGAATGGGTGGTAGGAAGACTCATGGCTGTGAAGAATAAAAATGTTCATGACTTAAGTCATCTTATGATATAGAAAAAGGTATCTGTGTTGAAAGTACTGATAAAACTGGATTTCATGGAAGTGACTTGTTACAGCTGAACAGTTCTTATTGCAAGAGAGGACAAATTCCAAAGTTAAGTAAGTATTGGAAGATAGGCAATCCAAGCTAAAGATCATCCACTGTGATCATATTTGGAGGTACATCCCAGAGAGAACAGCCAAATTGGTAGCACCAAGGAAGAACTAGTCAGCCGAACCTCAACTTGCCCAGAGTTCCTATTGGGACTGCCAGCAGATTCACCTGACCACCTATCTAGGAAGACCTCCTCCAGCAAAATAACAGTCAGCAACAACAAAGAACAAGACGCTATTTCATTTGTATAGCATGGGGCTTGGAAGAGAAAACCACACTGGGTGTATTTACTAATTTACTGTAATTTTTGTTTTTTGCATTAAGGTTGTTTAAGGAACTTCACAATACAATAAGAAAGGAGCATTGTTATCAGCTATGTTGTGATTTGTTTGTTAACTAAGGGAGCTGAAGGTTTTTAATGATGTAATGTAATATTATGTTCACGTTAGTCATTAAAACCTCAGAGCAAAGGTAGATTACAAAAACAACAATACATGAAGCATTAAGTTAGTTGAGAGTTGAGACGTAAATTTATTTGAGATAACTGAGAGTTATCGCGCGAGGTTGGAAAAGTAATGGATGGATTGTCAGTCCTAGTACTACTGTTAAAGATGTATAACGTCATTTGTAAATGTCGGCGTAAACAAAGCGATTTAAACTTGTACAAACGTTTAATGGAAGAAAAAAATCAGATGTTTGAACGTTCAGTTATTTTCACCAGTTAATTTAAAAGTACCCACCAAGAAGAACTTCACTACAAAATATATTTTCATTGTCGTTTGCAATAATATTATGTACATAACTATGAATATATGAGATAGGTGAGCAAAAATAATTTCTTTTTTCTTTTTCTTAGAAAAACTGAATAATTTTACTTCACTTAAATTTGTCCAAATGTTATGCACATGTGTTTGGGCATGGATGTAGAGTTTAGCAACTAGAAAAAAACTATCTCTGTACTATAGCATACTAATTGTTTGTGTTAGTTACACATTTACCAGGGTTATCGTCCTTAGATGGTTATGAAGTTCCCCGTAAAAGGTACCATTGGAAAACAATTTGGGTTTCAGCCTATGTGCTCTCTAGTAACATCAGTCGTTAAATAATAGACTTAAAAGTACCTGGAGAATATGTACTCCATGTTTTTGTTTATGAGATGACTAATTGACGTGGGTAGCATATGTACTGTAGAATAGTTGATACTATCATTTCATGTATATAATGTGAGCTATTTTAATCTTGATAAAAATTATTCAGACTCTCTCAAGAATCTACAAATCTCTCAGATCTTCTCATGAATTTTAGTATATAGAGAGGTGCAATACATTCATAATTCATACAGAAATGAATAAAAGCCTATAACCCGAGCGCTTTCGAAAGGTGGACCTCTTTTCTTCATGGGCGAAAGGCCCACCTTTCGAAAGTGCTCAGGTTATAGGGTTTTTATTCATTTCTGTCAATACTTCTTGAACCAACGTGTTTTTCTAACATAATTAATAGTTCATATAGAGTTATGCATAACTATATACATGCACATAAATAAAGACTGACTTTCACTTTTCCTTGCATTATGTCTAGTCTTTCTTCGATTCAGTCAGGTTAGAAACTCAGTTTAGCCCCGTGATAAATTTCTTGCTATCTTAACAGTTATTATGGATATCATTATTACTTTTAGATTATATGTATGTACCTGCAAATGTCACATATTATATTCTGCATCGGCTCAAAGTATTCCTCTTTGGCTTTGTTTTATTACTTCTAGCATAAGCAGCTCACAACTTGCAATAAATATTATGCATCTCTTTAAATGTCTTTTCTTCAGTTTTTCAGTGATTGTAGTATCTCTAATGCAACCTTTCTGCAGTAAGTTGAACAGTACAAGTTACGTTGTAAGTTTTTCACAGGGAATCTTATTTGGATCAATAACATATACATATTCTTTTTAAGAATTTAATAGGTTATACTTGGGAAGAAGAACCTTTCGTTTCTTAGCTTTGAATATTTAGCCTTTTCATTAACGATATGGATGTATTATATAACCACACTTAATGTGGTCCTCATGACCTACGCGTGTGATATTCGGGAATATCACGTTTCCCACCATCTTTATTTAAATAAGAATTTTTTAAGTTTTTATTTTAGTATGTTTCTACACAATTTTGATTTCAGCATATGGTCCAGAAAAAAACCCTGCAATTTTACTCTATTTGTCTTTGTGTCTTTCTTCTCGATCTATATGAGATAATATCTAACTCTGCCCAAAGGATGTTGCACTACCATGGCACATTAGTATCAAAAGTTTGAATGACTGCAGTGTTCTTCACTAGCCAACTGGGTGATGTCTGTATGCTACAACAAATGAATGATGTGAGAAAGTGATAAGTAATGTGATGAAACAATCGTAAAGAAGGAATACAATGTTTCGTGCTAGATCAGATCTATACTTTCAGATATCTACTTTGCTAAGCAAAAGATCTGTCTTGAGAGAAAAACAAACAATAACTGCCAACGTATTCACTGATCCAGTAGAGGGGATAATCTTTTTGTCTACGCAAGTATGCACACTGTTTTTTTAGTCGCATCCTTAATAAAGATTGTTTTCACATTATATTAAACATGCCAACTCTGTTTATTTCTCATACAACTTAAAACTTAGCCAAATTTTCAAATTCAGATACTGTGTAAACTTCCTGTTTGATACTCCTGTTATTATTATTAAGAATATTTCAATCTTTATAGTAACTACAATCCGCTAACAATCTGGAAACGTTAGTGGCAAATAAAAGTAAAACATGGGTAAAAAGTGAATCCATGTTTGATAGAATTTCGTATCTACTAATAAGAGAGAGAGGGTAAAGAATATTTCTCGTCTACTTTAATTTGGTTTGGTTGCTTTAAAGCATAAAGCTAAACAATGGGTTATCTATATTCTGTCCACTATTAGTATTGAACCCTGAATTTTGTAAGCCCGCAGACTCATTGCTGAGCTACTGGACCCGGTATGGCCAGGTGGTTAGGTCACTTGACTCGCAATCAGAGGGTTGCGGGTTCGAATTTCCATTTTACCAAACATACTCGCGTTTTCAGCCGTGGAAGCGTTATAATGTGACGGTCAGTCCCACTATTCGTTGGTAAAATACTAGCCCAAGAGTTGGCGGTGGATGGTGATGACTAGCTGTCTTCCCTTTAGTCTTTCATTGTTAAATTAGGGACGGCTAGCGCAGATAGTCCTGACGTAGCTTTGCGTGAAATTCAAAACAAACAAACCTGAGCTACTGTTTACTTTAATAACATATATGAAAATTATCATCTTCGTTCTTAGTTATTAAACTAGAAAACTGTTAAGCTACGAGTAGAATTTATAACTACTTTGAGGGAAAATTATCTCAGAGACATTTTCTTTGAGATTTGTGAAACCATTGTACGAAAACAAAATTAACAACCTGTAATGATTTTCATATTTATGGGTAACTTTTATGTATTTAAAAGTTTAATTGAATTTAGAAGATTTATAGTGAATTTTTTATAATATGTCATTATGATGCGTGCAGTTATTTTTTATAATTCAAATGTGTCCAGATTACTATATTTTGTGAGATTGGAGGATCATTTTTGTCATAGATCAAAACATGTTGTATCAGGTATAGGGAATTTCAAGTTCTTGTGATCTTCGTGCCCTGCAGTTATGGTAAAGTAAACCGAAGCGATTGTGGGATTTTGTCGGTTATTGGAATTTGGTAATTAATATTAAAATAAGCGTCAAATTCAGTTAAAGATGGCTGACCGAAGGGCGGAATTAGAAAGAAAAAAACAAAAGCTTGCAATGATAAGGGAAGAAAAAGAACGAAGAAAAAGAGAAAGAGAAGCAAAGGAGGTTAGGCTTAATATGATTCTAATTAATATACTTGTCATGAGACATCAGCTTTAGGCCTACTAATAACATGTTTTTAAACACTACATTTCGTTATCTAGACTAGTCCGTTGAGGATTTTGAAGAATTAGAAGAATTTATAATATTACTAGCATTTCAACTACACTATAGTAATATATTTGTCATATCCATTGCCGACGATACGTTTCGCTTAGTCCTGAGCTGTATCTTCATGAATTTCTCCCTCTCTTCTTTTTTTTTTAAATTTTAGTGTAAATTGTTTTGTTTACATCAGTCACCTGATTCATGTTATTATGAACTGAAACTGTAGTTGAAGTTTGAAGCACGAAAACCTTACGTGTATAAATGAACGATCCACTCTTGGGTTCTTGGAAATTATAATAAAAATACTCTTTTTATTTTGCTTAAGCATAATAAATAATATAACAGAAAACAAAATATCACAATGCTTGCTTGTTTGTATTTTAAAATTTGATACACTTTAAGTTTAAGTTCATGTGTAGTAGAATTTCCAGTTCACCATTGAAATAATTTATATGATTATTAATTTATGGACAACAAGGGACTATTTGGCCCTTCAACATCAAGGCACATCTACCCTCAATAAAATGAAAAGTAGAAATTTAAATCCATCTGTTTTTTTTATTTTAGGAAACCATTGATTCTTCTAAAACTTTTATAAGGTGCCACCCTTCTTTCTGCTAATGGTAAATTATTCTATAACTTATAAGTTAATTACCTGAAACAAAAAATATTATCTGGAGCTTAGCCTTTATTTTCCAAGTCTTAAACTTGTGCCCTCACAACATGTCTTCAGAATTCAGCAAAAAGAAATCGGATAATGATAATCTTGTAAACTTCAGTAGGATCACCTCTTGTCCATCTTTTTTCAAGAGAAACTAAATTAAGAGATCTTAACCAATTTAATATATCTGGAATCATCCTTGTATTCCTTCTTTAATTCCTGTCTACCATATCCTTTCCTAGATATGGAGACTAAAACTGCACAGTATTCTGAGTGAGGCTTAGCTAGTGATTTTGGGAAAAGAGACAGTTACCTCTAGCATAGTTAGGGTACTCTGTTATTTAGTGTACTGATAAAAAGCTTCTTGTAACAGAAAAATGAGGACTAGAATTTGTTTGCCAGGTACTGAATTACAGGGCATTATAGAGTGCATTGATAGTTTAGTTAGCATACCAAAAACATTCTTTTTGAATTCATGTAGAGGAAAATGATGTTTATAATTGTAAATTAGTAGAACTGCTTAAAAAATACAAAGATACATTTAGAGCAACAGATAAGGCTGTTTGAACCTCTGGTATAATTTTCAGGGTAAAGGTGAATTATAAGGTAGAGATGGGTTTCAATTAAGCAGGTTGTTTGTGAAAGTTCTTAAGTCTGAATTATGCCTTAAAGATAGTTTATACTAAACACAGTTTGTGATGAGGGAGCTTAGGAAACTGAATATGCAGTAGGAAGCTAGAGCAATGAGGAGTTTATAAATTGGAAATTTAGAGCATAATGAGTTAAAATTATGGTTTTGAAATGTTGTTATGAAATAGTTGGTTCAGTTATAAAATTAGTTGCTATTATTCCAATATTAGGACTTACGAGCATTAATAAAAACAAGGGCTATAGTTGAATACTATGATATAATGGGAATAACTGAAATATAGTTTGATTTGGAGAACATTTATTGTGGGTATTATTTTAAAATTCCTGGTTATAAGCTGTTAATAGTGCTAGCATGAAAAAAAGAGGGGGCAGGATGGCTCTTTATATAAAGGATGAATTGCAACCTATTGGGATTGAAACAAAAAAATGAGTGAAAGGTTTCTAATTGGCAGTTATTATGTGTCACTTCATTATTAGAGCTGGATAATTAGTGGAATTTACTAATAGATTGTCAGGCTCTTTTATCAATGACAATCAACTAATTATTCCAACTACCTAAGGCTCATAAGAATAAACAGTCACAAACACTGATTTTGATTTTCATGAGTTGTGACACAAATCAATTAACTTTTTTGATGAACCTTGTAACCGCTATGTATTGCCTGAATGTATTAAGTCTATCTTCATGAAATTTGGTAAGGTTTTTGTAAATAGTGCAAGTCTTTAGTCACAAAAAAAAAGAATTGTTAATAAACTAATTTTGTTACAGGTTTGTCTGTGAACATAAGAAGCCTTTGCTGAATCAGTGTCAGTGAAAAGTGATTTTTATGCTAAGATTAAAAATACTTTTCATCCTATAGTTTTATATTTCATTTGTATAATCCTTAGAACCTCCTAAATATTGAAAAGTTTTTCAAAATAAAACTTTTTACTTTATTTCTTATTTTCTCAACCCTAACACTAACTGTGGAGAAATCATCAACAGAGTTGAAAATATTAAATAACATGAAATATACTTTTTTCATACAATGTCTGCAGACTGTAACAGGCAATGACAATTATTTATCTTAATAGCCTAAGCTTTCTAACTTTTTCATATCTTTTAGTTTTATTATCTTACAATGTTATTAGACATCTGTCAATATGTGAAACTTAATATGTCACAACAGGACAGCTTAGTCTAAACAAATGAATCAAGTTACTTTGTGTGACCTCACACTGTGACTTATGTGAATGGGTTAAGCTAGTGATAAGGAAAAATATTCTTATTGAATTTTTATCATTTTAGTTTCTTATCAAATGTAATAATTTTTACATTTTTACATTTTAGTTACTTTTATGCAAAACTATATAACGGTAAATAAGAAATATATATAAAAATAGATTTAAGACTATCTTCAGATCTCTGGCCTTTTTTGTTCATGCAAATGGATTTTTTTCACACTGTGTAGGCTGTCCACAAAATAATTTATATAGCTTTCAAATGTGAATTTTAGAAAACAGAAGGTATATCACACAATAAAATAGAATTTCCTAAAACTACTATAATTTATCTGGCTTTCTAACTAAGCTATAAATAGATTAATAAAATTCCATTAGTGCTTGGAGCATTGACTTCATCGAACACAGGATATTACTTTCTCAATAACTGCCATCTCTATCAGCTAAAATATAAACAAAGGAAAGTAAGAGAGTAGTACATTGAATTTTACTTTTTCTATTGGTTAGAAGCATGTTAGCATTGCCAGAAAGAATTATAGATATGGTTTGAAAGACAGAGACAGGATGGTGTGTTATGTGGGTCTCTCAGTAAAGCAGAAAAATTGGATGTTCAGATTTTATTCTTGCTTCTCAATATCAACAGTGTGTGTTTATTAATTTATTACTCTAAAGCATATGTAAGAGTAGAAAGAAAATCTAGACTGGAGAATTCAGACTGCAGGTGCATTATGTGACACAAGGAAGTGAAAATGAGAATTTATCTAAATATTTGCTTTTGAAATTAAGACATTAAAACTTAGATGATATAAAAAGTAACCCTATGTGCAAGTCACAACTTTTTACAGAGTTAAATTCAAAATTTAGTTTAACTACTTCATTATCAATGTATATCAATAAACTTGGCATCCAAACATAGTTAATGAACACAAATTTCAATATTATATATGATTTAATTTCTTAATTTAAGAGAAAATATTTTAAAAAATTGTTTAGTATGCCACATGATACATCTGTGCTATAAGTTGCTCAACGTACATTTTATTACTTCTACCATACAACATTAACAGTGCTTAGCCAGTTAAAAAATTAATCTATATATGTTAACAATTTAGAATATAAAATAAGAACCTCTCACCTTGATTTGCTGAGATACCAAAATATTTAGTAAACCTACCAGACCCCCCCACATCCATTTATTGTTTTGAAGCCAATTGGTTACTCATGCTTATCTGTCTTAAGTACATATTTGTAACCAGTAGAAAAAGCAGATTTTGAACCACTTAAGTCTGACAATTGTTTGTCAATTTTTAAGTTAGGACAGCCAAAATTTACTATGAAATGTTGAAGTGTTCACTAAAATCGTTACTTCAAACAGAAATTAATTTTTAAACCTATTTATACCTTAGTTGGAAAGCCAGATAAATTATAGTATTTTATTGATGTCCTATTTTAGTTAATGGTTCTTTTTTGATTTCTAAAATGCATACTTGAAATTTACAAAAAGTAATTTGTGTTTGCTTCAGTTTCGGAGAATGAATGAGACTTGACACAAGAGTTAGCAAATCACGTTTCCTGAGTGCAAGTAAATTTTATAACACCACAAGTACTAGAGATCATGGTTATTATGTATGCTTTTTATTTGTTGTTATATGTTTTAACAAAAATAACTACAATTTAAACATTTATGAGTAAACAGTTATAATATTTAGACATACACACTATATGATTATTGAAATGTTTTTGTATTTGGCAAATAATGATGAGTTTCATATTCATACTTTGTAGGCTAGTTGACTATATATATATATAACTATAAATATGTCTACTTAACATGGGTTATTCTTCTACACAGCTGCAAAGTACACATCTCAAAACCCTTTTTTTGCAACTATATTATGAATGTATACCAACAAACTTACCTCTTAAAAATGTTTACAATTTAAATTTCATATAAGTTGTAATTTTTTAATTTGAAAAGGAGATATTTAATATTTCAATCTTCGCCTGTCTGTATCATATGATACATCTTTGCACCAAATTGTTCATTTCATATATTTTCCTTCTACCGCTTTATCTTCCCTGTTTAGCACGTATTCCTTATACTGTAGATATTGCTAAGCCATAATGTAAATTTCCCTCCAAGCTTATTGCTTTAATAAGATATAACAAAGAGTTTCATGTGTTTGCATGCTTCTCATACCTGTTGTTACGTTTTGCCAGAAAAAGCATAATGGCTCACATAGTGATTTATTGTTGAGGCAGGGGGGATTACTGTTCCATACCTATAAATATTAATAAAACAGAAGCAGTGTTTAATAAACAAATAAAGGTTTAAACTGCACATATAAGTAACTAGCAGAAACATTGCCCTATGGGTCAGGATCTTGGTAAGCTGAACAGTGTGCTTCTCTGTCATGGAATTACTCCTTGCTTCTTCTAACTGCATCTTGGTCAGCAAATTGATGTGCTTCTGTTTTTTGGGCTTATTTCTGGGTTCTTCTCACTGGATCTTGCCCCTCATAACTTGGTGAGCAAGCCTTTCTTTCTTTCTGTAACTTGCATCTTGACATTTTTTTTTTTCAAAGTTTCAGACTTTCTCCATAATAAGTCACTTTTTTGTTTGGTAATTTTTAGCATCAAGATTTTTGATGTTCTTTATCACTTTATATTCATGCTGAAGTAAAAAATAACTTATGTAACTTACAAAGATCGAGTTACTACAAAATTCCTGCAAGTTTGTATGCAACAAATCTCCACTAGGAAGATTCACTTTGAAATTCTGCATTAATCTCACTTTACCACAATTTTAGAAGTTTATTAAAAAAATTAATTTTGTCGATAATAATAAATGTGCAAAATTAATGTACATTATTAAAAAAGGAAAGAAGTACCATTTCTCCATTAAAGAAGTGATTTAGAATTTTTTTTTATAAAATAACATCCTGTTGTTTTTTAAATTTCAGCGAGGGTCTGTTTTATAACATTTTTCATTTTGGTGCAATATATAGTTGTTATTGACTTATTTCTTTAAAAAAGTGGACACCTGCACTAAATTTTTTATAAGAGACCCAGTTATAATGAAACATTTTTGGATACAATTTCCCTTCACTTTGATAGTATGTTACTGGTAAGTTACAAATAATTTTAAACAGCTGCACAGAGCTTCTAAACAACAAAAAAGGAACAATATTTACAAAATACACATTGTATGATTCTGAACTTGAATTTTAGCCACAAAAAATGGGGATTAATGATAAATAGAATTAGAAAAATAGTGAAGTATGGTTTAAATAAGTTTCAACACTGCTAGGATCCTGGTAACTTGTGATTAATTATAGAAAGCTGCAAACAACTAGTTGGAAGTTTAAAATATTTCTCTTTTATGTTACAAAAAAGGGATAGAAATGTTTTTGTTCTTTAATAGTTGATATTAAGGTACATTGCTTTGATTTGTCTGATTTCTAGAAAGAAGTCTAAAAAAGTGAATGATATGATTGATACAAATTATTTGTGTTTTTGATTTCATAGAGTGAAGATGTCCCTATGCGGGTGACAAGACCAGACAAGGATTTGAGAACTGAAACAGAAGAATTATTGTCTTCACTAGGGATACCACTAGGAAGTGGTAAAAAAAATCAGTTGTTATTAGGGTCAAATATTTTACCAAATTTTCACATATGGTTCTGTAAACATTAGAATGTGTCAGGATATATGGTATCACAGTAAGAAAATTTTTTAGGATATAATAGATTCATATGTATGGGTAGTGCACAGTCATGTTAAGGTAGTGATTTTGAATGAAATAGATATGAAGTAAGGTTTTAAATATGTATATGCAAATTATTTTAAATTGAGTTTTGATATATACATATAGATGATTTGAAAGTTCAGAATTGTTTTTCTCTTTTTTTACAAAATTAGAGCCAGAGTACAAGAAACAATGCTTATGGCCAAAACATGGTTTCTGATAGAGCTGTTGAAAAAAGACTATAGGCTTGTGTAACTGGGAAAAAAAAAAAATTACTATTAGAGTCCACTACATCAAATTAGGTGTACAATTTATAGTAAAGAATATAAATAATGTTATAAAGACTGACTACACAGCTAAAAAATATAGTATGTAAAGCAATTGTAATTTGTATAATTTCTTAATTTTCAAGGTAATATGAATAAAAAATTTTTGGACAGTCTAAATGCCCCTTTCCCTGGTGGCTCAGATGTAAAATTGAGGACTTGTAACTAAAATTTGAGGCTTGATTCTTGTGGTGGTTACAGTTTAGATGACTCATTGTGCAGCTTTTTGTTTAAAACAAACACCTAAACATAGGCAGAATGGGTGATAAGAAAATTAAAGTCTTTAAAACTTGGCATGTCCTTGAAATTTACTTTATAAACAGCACAGATTTATTAGAAACATAGTACATATGTCGATGACGAGGAACCCACTTTGAGACTAATAATGGTTGGTGACGGCTTGAATGGGTAATGAAGAAAAACTTTAATATAAGTTTAACATAACAGCAAATGTACAACGTTTCGACAAGGTTTTGTCATCATCAGGTACAAGTAATTTACACTGACATGGATATATATATACAGTATTGAACAAAGAAGTCACATGACTGGAACTCTGGGCAGTTATTGCATATTATTTTGTAAATGACATTGATATTGTGTGATTCTAAATAATTTTTGTTAACTTCTGTTCTATACAGAA